CCATAGATGAGAGAAGGCTCCTCCAGATGCAATGAGGGATAGGCCGTATTTGAGATAAGGGACACACGTGTGTAGAAAAGATCGATCATTATATACAGGCTGTTGTAGCACTGCGGGAGCAATAATCAAGTCAGCCAGCCAACGCCAGTGGAGTTTAAGTTGTTGAACTAGAGGATCCAAAATGCCAACACCGCCTTTTGTTTTGTACGGAACAAAGTTACGATATGCGATTCGAGGAAATCGGGATGCATTAAGAAAAGTGCTGCAAATTCCTCGTAAGCGATCAATTTGACCTTTGGTCAGAGGAACTATTCGTAATACGTGCCATAATTTAGAGAGCAGAAGGGTGTTGAGAACTACGGTTCGGCCTTTAATGGATAAGTTACGTTCAGAGTGAATATCACATCCGTGTTGTATCTTTTGTATTAATAGGTCGATCGCTAGGTTTTTCTGGGACGCGTTAAAGTATAGTGGATATCCAAGGTAGATTAGAGCAGTAGGGGAATGTCGATCTTGCCATGAAGTAATGGGTGTTTCCCTTGAACTGAGGTAGGTCGTCCAATAGTGACTTGATTTGCCTGACAAGGAGAAAGCTTGGGTTTTAGCAAAATTTAATTTGGCATTGGAGGCGAGGGTATACTGGTTAATAAGACGCTCTAAGCAAATAAAATCTTGATGGGACTGTAAAAACACAAGAGTGTCATCGGCATAGGCCATAACTTTTAAAGACTCCGGGGATGGTTCGGCTACTAATTCTGGAAAAGTGAAGCCATCGAAATTTGTTGCCTGTTGAATAGAACGAAGGAATGGATCAAAAGCAATGTTAAACAACAGAGGTGAAATGGGATCACCTTGTCGTAGACCTCGTTGTTGTAAAACAGGTGTTGACAGGTGGCCATTAATGTTGATGTGAATCTTGGTATTAAAAAATAAAGTGCAAAGTGACGATATCATTGGGCTGGGTATTCCAAATTGGGCCATCATTCGTGCTAGATAAGTTGGATGGATTCGGTCATAAGCTTTTTCTTGGTCTAGTAACAGTCCAATAGCGTTAGATGAGGTGTGTTCGGCTATAGACATTACGGCTTGCAAAGTTTTTCCATTTTCACCAATGAATCGACTAGGCATAAGTCCCATCTGTTGTGGACTGATCAGATCATTCATGTACATCATTAACCTGGAATTCAACATGCGAGTAAAGAGTTTGGCATCTGTGTTGATCAGACTAATCGGTCTATGATTACTTAGATTGGTGAGATCACCTTTTTGGGGAGTAGGATCATACAAGTTTTGTTCCAACTAGGAGGAAAAATACTTTCCAAGAGAGCATCATTGTACACTTGTATAGCCACACGTATTGCAGTTGCATTATGTAAAACATGAAAGAGTATTTGATATGGAATTCCATCTGTTCCGGGACTACTTTGTGAGGGAGTTCGTTTAGCAGCTTCCAATAAACTGTCTTTAGTGAATTCGGTTAACAGATATTCGCGTTGACTATCACTATGGCGGACATACCAGCAGCTGTGAATTAAATGGCAACATAACTGCCATTTTTTTTATTTGCTCGATATCCCCAGCCAATAAGATTCGAGCAAAAGATTGATACAAATGATCATAATATCATAAAAAAACAAAAATGCTTCAAAAGCATTTCTGGAACCGTCAATATGTAGTTTAGATGTCATAGAAACTATCTCAAAGTTAAAATTAGATTGCTATATGCCAAAAAATCGATGCAATATTGATCCGAATTTGATGGGTTACGGTATAAAAAATGATTTTTTGCGCTTGTGAAGCAAATGGTAACAAGTTGCCATTTTTTTACTTATTTTTTTTTAAAAAAAAAAAGATATTGCGCCTAGAAAAACTTGGGAATGACAAGGGATTCAAAATTTACCAGTGTAAGAGAATGTGGTGTGCTAAAAGCTTGTTAAGGGAGAGCTTTAAAAGTGACAACCAAACACACAGAAGAAGGATAACAGTAAAAGGTTCTTTAGCGGTTTGTTACATAACTATCAATAACAAAGTATAAAAATGTAGAATCAACAAGATCCCGATAGTTCAGACTCTATCAATGACGCTTTCGAAGATATGAGTCGCGATGAGTCCCCCATCATAGCGGACGTGCTGTAAGTTTTTTTTATTGTTTTTCATGCATGATATATGTATACTCATATGCGATAAATATTTTTTATACAGTTCTCCTCCACCAGAGGTAGCGAATGAACCTTCACGTAAAAGAACCAGAAGAAGATAATAGTCGTGTCTGGTCGACATGATTGGTCCATTCTGGTTTTTAGCTTCTTTATTAGTGTGTATTTTAGCGTTCTTTTAGCTTACAGTTTTTTCTCTCTTTCTTTTACTTTTATTTATCTTTTAAAATAAATAGCCTTCAAATAATGATGGTAAGGGTATATAGCCCCTTCAAAATAACGGAAAGTGTGAACAAATATGTTGGAATTGAGTATGTTTGCAATGACTGAAGCAATGACATGTAATCTGTATAAAAAACTAAAGGGGTTTTTTTTTTAGATAAAAATTTAGCCTATTTTTTTTTATTTTGATCAAACTGAAGTACGCCTGTATAATATAACCATTTTCCATAGATAATGGTCCTCATCAATAAACGGTTCTATCTTTACAGGTAAATAGCCTTTAAAAAGTTATGTTTTATTCTTATTGATATCATACTGCTTACATATAGACTATTTATTCTGTGTACCTTTCACTCAAACGACGACATTTTAGGAACACCACCGGTCAAATAATCATCGACATCAGAACTTAAGGCTGGTAATAAAATACAGAATTAATAACAATATTACTATTTTCTTACAATATCTTTATAGAGTGTTAAGAGAATCAAAGGTAAGCTAAAGTAACATCCAAGCATTATAATGGTATATCTTATTGCCATGTATACAACCACATACCTAAATAAAGAGGTTAAAGTTATATCAAACCCTCCTATACACCACTGAAATATAAATAAACAATCCAATAAAACGTGCTTTACTGCCAATAATAACAATAAATAAGAAAATGTGAGCCTACCAAATATAAAAGAATGGGTCTAAAAGAAAGGTTAAGGGTTTGTCCGTTTAAAAAAAAGTGGCAGCTGTGAACGTTTTGTTATTATAGAATATCATAACTGCTATTTTTACAAGCCAGGAAAATAGAAGCTGTGAATGATTTGTCTTCAACAAACTAAAATAGATGCCATTTTTTAAAACCAAAAAACAGCAGCAGTGAACCTCTTGGCTTCATTCAACTGTTAAAGGTGCCATTTTTGCCAGCCAAAAATATGGCAGCTGTGCCTCTTTTGTTATTATAGAATATCATATCTGCCACTTTTGCACGCCAAAAAAATGGCAGTTTTGTGAAGTAAATGGCAGATAGTTGCCATTATTTCCGCCATAGTGTATCATCAAGCACCACATTGTTAGGTATTGTGTTAGCTAGCTGATCTGTTGCATTTACATCGATGTCGTCTGGAGTATATAGATTCTGTTAGAAAGAATGAGCGGCACCGGTCAAAGTTGCAGGAGTTGTACATGATGCTGATGTGACTGGATGTATCAATTCCGGAATGAAGCTCTTAGTGAGGCGAGCTGTAATAGAACGTTTTAGGAAAGAAGGCGAAGATTCACCTGTTTCCCTCCAAAATTTTTTGGCTCGTAAAGAGTCATTGGTAGTTATTTCCTCTTGCAGACCTTGAATTTTTGCTTCCACTTTGGAAAGTTTAAATTGCAAAGCACCAGGAGTCAATGATGCGTCGTTGAGTATATAAGTTCGTTTTTGCTGTAGCACATCTAAATGTTTCTTGCGCCAATTGGCATGATGACGACCCGTTTAACGTGCAACTTTTTTAACAGTTTCCTTGATACGATCCCATCGAAGCTGAGGGCTAAGATTAGGAGGAAACATTGAGCAGGTTTTATCTATCTCGTGGTGCATTGAATCCAAAAATTTTGGGTTAGAAGCTAAGGCCGGATTTGCTCGCCAAAGTCCTTTTCCTAAATGGGTAAAACTGCACTTAAAAGAAAAGGTCAAAAGAGCATGGTCAGTTCATGCTGGTGATATAAATTTCACGTTCGATTTGATTTTGTCAGAGAATAAATCAGTTGTCGAATATATATAATCAATAGTAGACATCTGTTGACCCCGTCGAAATGTCGGTGATATAGTAGCTGAGTCCAAGCAATTTCTAAAATTGGATTGAAGCTCTTGATTCCAGCGAACTTGGTGGTTAGCCAAAGCCCGTGTGCCAGACAACGTATTGGATACATCACTAAGACTAAAATTAAAATCACCAGTGATGATTGTTCGAGTAGGCAAACTTGGCGTACTGGAGGGAAGATCGACTGTAGACATATCGTCACTGGAGCGAAGAAAAGGCATTTCAATGATGCCTGAAAAACATTGCTGACGCTCTGCGAGTTGTGCTGGCGCATATATAGTAACAACAGTGAGAGGATCAAAGGTACGTTGAACATGAGTAATGGTACAATTTATCACCCGTTGGTCTATTATTATGAAATCTGGAGTTAGTTGTAATGAAGGGTTAAAGCAGACAATGCCACAATGTTTGCTCCACACTGTCTGTTTGGTTTGAAATAAATTATCAAGAAGTAGCTTCAATTCGGTAGTTGAAGCGTCTGTTTCTTGTAGAGTAATAATGTCTAGAGGTGGGTTTTGTTTACGCAGAAAGCGGATAATGTCTTGACGAAGAGAAGGTTCATTGGTTTTGAGAAGGCTGCGACAGTTTAAGGTAGCAATCCTGATAGTGCTTGAAAGGAATGATTCCATTAAAAATGGTTCTTGAGTAATATTAGAAGGAGAAGGATTTACCGACTATGTTTTTGTAGTGGTATGTGAATTAGTAATGGTTGAATGATTTGAATTGTGTAAATTCATTGAGTGAATTTTTTTTTTTTTTTTTTTTTTTTTTTTTTTTTTAAAGAAAAATGTTGGAGATACTTAAATCTGCCTCCTCATCAGGTAGACGTCTTCCGAATGGAAGATATCGGTGAAGAGCAGGAAGGGTCATATTTGACAGCAGCGACACCTTTGTTAGCACGCGGAGAGACTCGCTGGTGAGTTGTGGCAGAATTGGCAACTGTGGTTGGAGTAGTCTTGGGGACACTGGTATTGGCGGCCGATCTTTCTTCAACGATGACTGGTAAATCGTTTGAAAGAAGTGGTGGCTCTTCAGCATCTGATATCCGATTATTATCATCTTCAGAAACATCCATCATGGATTCATTGTCTGATAATACCGTAAAGTAGTTGGATGGTTGACGCACTGGTACATCCTCGTTGGCTGGGTTGGCTGCGGTGGTACTGGGTGTGGTAACGTTATCGTCCACATTGACTGACGGTACAGCATTAATTAAAACCTTATTAATGCTTCGGACAAGAGGTTGTATTTCGTTACGAACTCGTTTTTTTGAAGATGCGATCGAGTTATCGTGAGTGCGGGGACAATGGCGGGCTAGATGACCACGTCGATCACACAGGTAACACGTCTTACTTCTGGTTGGGATTTCTTGACAGTCACAGTGGCGGACTATGTGGTAAAAACCCGCAACATGTGGTAAAAACCCGCAACATTTGGTGGTAAAAACGTCCATTTTATACCACCGAATGTTGCGGAATTGTTGCTCATTTACCACCGGATGTGGTAAAACTCCAAAATTATACCACCAAATGTTGCGGGTTTTTACCACCTAATGTTGCGGGTTTTTTCCGCATGTTGCGTGTTTATACCACTTAATGTTGCGGTTTTTTTCCGCATGTTGCGTAATTATACCACTTCTGGTAGCTACTTAAATCCACATGTTGCGTCTTTTTACCACAATATAGCGTCCTTTTGGTCAAAACGTAGTACATCACTTTTAATTATAATACTATTGATGCTGATGGACCTTATACATTTGTGCAATCAAAAAATAAATTATATAATAAAGAAGCAGGATTTAAATGAAAACGTTTTTATTTTATTCAATGTTTATTTTGTATTTTACTTTAAAAATAATTTATGTACATATCAGCTCCGGTTTGAAAGGGCACACTTACATTCATAATATCCTTTGCCACTTACTATTGACGGGCCCAGTTGATATAACACTAACCAAACATCCACCAATGTATACAGATAACATTCTCGAGCCCTCGAGAGATGTAGCAGCATATCGACATAAACAGTTTTATCAGCCTAAACGAAAAAAAAATTGCAGCCTAAAAAAATTTTATAGCCTAAAAGCAAAATTTTACAGCCTAAAAAAAATTTTTACAGCCTAAAAAATTTTTTTTACGGCCCAAGAGAAGAATTTTATATCAAAAAAAAAACATTTACTACCTCAATCCGCCGTTATAGCCCAGAGACTAATCTATACACTCTATTATTATACAATTTATTAGAGAAGACGTATTGGATATTCATATGACTATTACCTTCAGCATATGGCGGATATGTACACATAAATCTTAGGCAATTTAAAATATACAGAAATAATAAATATTGGTGTTTTGTACGCTACATTTATTTACGGTATATATTTTAGTATTGTCTACTACTACATGAAGGACAGTACTTACAAAATAAAAAAATTTTGGCTACAAAAAAAAAGAATACAAACAGGAAAGAAAGGCAGAAAAATTGTCATCCGCAAGTTTTTTATTTATATGAAATTATTAAAAGTGCGAATCAGCCTAAAAGATTCTTTAATTATTGACAACACTTCTTTTGCGACCACGTCTGGCTAATGGAGTATCTTTTTCCAAAGACACATCATCATTTTCTCTACCAGACTGCTCTTCATTGGGTATAGAGAAACTCTCTGGTTGCTCTAGTCCGAGACCAGGAGGGATGATCTCTTCATCATCGGACAAAGAGCTTGACTTCTTTTTCGACACTCTCTGCAAAACAAAAATTACATTAGTTGCTTAACAATAAACGAACTTCCTTTTTTATAATGTACGTACCTTATCTCCCAATGTGTTGTGAGCAACACTAGCCAGCAGTCTTTCAGCTCCCCAGTGATCCAAGCATTGATCCAAACCTATCTTACCTCTTCTGGCCAGCGCTTCCAAAGCAAGGATATACTTCATCTTGAGCTCACGGGAATGCATACCCCATGTCTTTATGCTAAGAACTGGGTCTGACTGGACCTCTGCCTTCAATTGTGTGATGCATGATTTAGCATAATCCCTCAATACACCATACAAGGATTTCAATTCCACGTTCTTCATTTCAATTTCTTCTTGACTTTTCTCAAGTGTATGACATAAATCAGGTCGAACACACAACAAGAACTCCCAGAGTGCCTCTCTGTCACTAATCCTATTAGGTTTACCCTTTTCGGTTACAATACCAGTGTCAGGCTTTTTACCTCCAGGAAAACGAGCGATACTTCTGACAGCCGATTGCTCGGTCATCTGATCGACTGTTATAAAAACGTGTTAGTTGTATGTCAAAGTATACCAATGCCATGTTATGATTACCTCTTCTCGGTGTCATGTCAGTCACGCTCCCTCCAATCAACCGTTCTTCCATGGCGTCAAGACGATCGTTTACCTGGGAGTGGTTGGATCGGATTTCGGTTTGCAAATCAAATACTAGCTTTTGAAGTTCGATGATGGTACGAACCATGTCATTTGTGTTATATGCGGGCATTTTCAAATTATTTTATGATGTAGATTGATAAAAACCGCTTTGTCAGGAAAAACGCGCTATATATATATTCTCCATATTCTTGTACGTCATGGTTTTTACATCATATCCATGATATAATCCATGCTACTATATAAAAAATATTAGCACTCGTTGCAATACGTAATGACAGCTGTCTGGGATTCAAAATTGGATCTAGTGGTTAATGCAACTGCGTTAAATACTTTATGTTGGGATTAGATTACGGCATCTTTCTTTAACACTTCCCTCGATTTAATTCCATGATTTCATCACGTAACTTTACATGCAGCTATTGCGACAGTCTTTTTGAAAACCATGCTCGAACGGTCGAGCATCAACGAAGAGTAAAATGCCATTTGTTTGCAGTAAGAAGTGGAATGAACAATATCAATACCAATACACAAGATGATGCTGAAGAAGAGCTTACTTCCGTCCAAAATCTTGATGAGCAGTATGCGGACGATGATACTGTAATGGAAGAAGCTGCAGGTAATAATAATTAAAATCATAGTAACGAATTTCTAACTTACAATGTATTGCTACAATAACTAGCACGCGATGATGCTTTCATGTTCGAAGATGCGATCAGATACAAGCACTTTGACCACGATTACAACTGGAACATAATCCAAAAGTTTGGCATAGGCTTAATTAAGCTTCTTGACCATAACGGTGTTTCAAGACAGGTCCAGCGTGATGTCGTAAAGCATGTCAATGGAAACCTTCTTTCCCACATTGATCCTGTTGCTTTCTCAGGTAAATTAAATATTGACTCAAAGACTTCCTTTCATACTAATTGCAATTTAGACTTGGGCGGGTTACTTCCTTCTCCAGAGGCTATTCATAGATTACTTGATAAAGGCAGCATTGATTCTGTGAAAATGTATGATGTGTGTCGCGAAGGATGTTTTCCTTTTGATGATAACGTGCAGCAATCACATTGTATCAACCCTGCTTGTTGTGAAGGGCGATACAAAAACCAAAATGAAGCTGAGGAATCAATCCGTGCTGGCGACGTTTCACCTCCAAAAGCCTTTCAAACCATGGCTATGTCTTCTGTCGGGGCTTCACTTGCGGAACTACTGGTCGACGACGAAATCCATGAAGACTTCAAGTACGCAAGCCAATTCAGCGAGTATGATGAAAATGGCGTCTACATTGACATGTTTTCCGGTTCGGTGTACAAAGAATTTCTTCGTCGAATTTGCTCACACGCAAAGACATCTGCCTTTTTCTTTACGTTGATGGGTTTCCCAACAAATCCAAACCTGGAAGCTCTCAAACGTTGGTCCATTGCATGGTGATGAACATTCCTGCATCTAAAAGGTTTAGAAATTAAATTTACTTGTACATGTTATCTTAATCAAACTTACCTTTTCGTTGTTAGAGCAAAGGAGTCGATGATGATTCCACTGGCTATTTTACCTGGCCCAAAAAAGCCCAAGTATTTGATGAGTTTTTTGACGCCAATCATCGAGGAAATCAATTCGTTGTGTGCAAGAGGATTCGTCGTTGAAAAAAACAATGAAATCGTGCACCAAAGTAAAGTATTCTTGCTCGGAATGACTGGTGATATTCCAGGAATTGCTGATTTAATGAATCATCGTGGACACACGAGCAAATATGGCTGCAGAATTTGCAAAATTGCTGGCAGACATCCTGAAGGTTGCCGTTACGGTATGTACTTCTTGGATGCAGGTGACATGAGAACCAAAGACGAATTAGTCAACGGCGATGCGGTAAATTATTCAAAGTGTGCACCAATATTTTTAAGATACTAAACGCAGTATGAATTAGCGATTCGATATGCTTGGTGTTGATCCTGTTATTAGCTCTCTTTCCACCTTCACTGGTACATCTTTTTTTCTTGGTGACGAGATGCATTTGATTGGTAGAGGGCTGGGTACTTTGGTGTATACTCTTTTGAATCCCAAGAAAAACAAAAAAGTTCCGTGAATTCATCACTCAAGATGCACAATATACCTTTGGTTTGAACGCACGTGATGACAATATCATCAAAAAGATTGACGAAAAGGTGAAGCAGAGCAGGGTTTACATACCATCAGCTTTTGAGGGAACTTGGGATGGCGGTGTAGGTATCGGAAGAGCTGTCGATTATTTAGACTTTCTCTTGTACATTGTCCCGACCATTGTACTTCCATTGGTCCAGAACAATGAAACCAAATGTGCGTTGATGGAATTGGTGGAGGGATGTTCCATTGCTTTGCAGTGGCGCATTTCTCGTAGGGACATTACAAAAATGAAAGGGTAACATGACAATCAGAGACTGGATATTAAAAATTAGACATTAACGCAAACATTTAGATGTTTTAGTAGTTGGCATACGTTTTTGAATCGAGGGATTGTTGCAAGTCGTATCAATGCGCGAGTGTTCACAGCAAATAACCATTATTTGATACATCTGCCGTATTTGATTGAACAGATGGGGCCATTAAAATGCTACTCTTGCCGACCAATGGAGCGGACAATTAAGAAGTTCACCAACTTGATCAAGTCCACGCATCTTATAGGGGCAAAAGCTTCGAACGTCCTTCCTCACGAGGCGAATTATAACAAGATGGCGGTTAGATGTCTGCAGTCTATTCAATTCCCAGAATCTACGGATTGTCCAGACACCTACCGTTCACATTCCTCTGGTGCTCAAGTCTGGTGTCCGTTTGTACCACAGTCTTTGCTTGGATCGGACTCGGAAGAAATATGCTTCGGTGTCCCGAGATCGAAGGTGATTGATGCATTGATATCATATTATGATCATAAGGTTGGGGATAAAATCGAGCAATTGACCTCGTCATCCATTGTGATTGCAAGTCGAGCTTGGAACGATGACTTGGTGTTTTCTTCGATTATGGACATCACCTTGAAAAACTTAAAGACAAGAGCAAATAATATTGTCCTGTTTAAGGCTCCCAAAAGTAC